GAAAAATGAGGAAAATGACAGATATGGGTTAAAATATCATCTATCATAAGAAATCAACAACCATCTAAATAAATTCACATAGGAATAATACTCAATAATCTCAGTATGCCTTTGAGACTAAGAATTTAATCAGAACAATTGAAATAAATGTATGTTTCTAGGGAGTGGAACAGAGAGGGAGAAGGGATGGGGGGGGGGGTATTGTTAAATACTGGCTTCCGTACCATTTCCAAACCTTGCTCCTTCTTTGGTTGACAAAATATGTCTGGAAAGTACAAAGATTTTCAACTGCAGAATGCAGCAGACATGAATTGTAGACTATAAATGTTGTATGTAAGAAATGTACATTCTTCCTTTAAGAAATAAGAATTAAACTGTTCTAATTTCCCATGCTAGATGACCAGAGACTCTCCGATCTCAGAGATTCTGTCACTTGGCCTCTGGTCATGTAAAGGACCCAAGGGCTTACGTTATCCCATTCAAAGATCTCTGGTCCTCAGAACATGTCGATGTCCATTGAACAAGTTCATTACTTAACCTGATTACTCTGAAGGCAGAAAGGAGGGGTACTGATATATCTAAATAAATAAAACTTCCACCTCATAAAGTACAAGCTTTTTAAAATGAAGAATATGATTAATAGACAATATAAACAGCATATCCTACAAAGAAGGGTGTGTTATCATTTGAAACTTTATTCCATGAACATGTACAGGTACTGAAAAAGATGGTAACAAGTGTTTCTTAGTACCTTATAAAATTTTTTTGAAAAGGAGACAGTTGGACATACTTTGATTAATGAACTGTAAATTATAATTCGTGAATTAGGCATCACATCTACCCCCAGCCCTTGGTAACATTTTTGGTAGGGTCTCCTGTTTCACCAATGCCAGCCTCAGCTCAAAGCTGGTACCACACATGTGTCTCACCATGACCAGTTTTATGGCTGAGATGGGGGTCTTGCTATTTCCTGGACTAGTCTCAAACTTTCATCCTCCTGATCACTACCTCCTGAACAATTGGGATTAAAGTTATTAACCACCACAGCTAATATTCAGTGTTTTTTGATGCCTTTTTTGTTAAAGCACATTTACTCTGGTGAACATTGTGAGTAAAGGAGACTATAGAAATGGCAGAAGTGCCATGAGAGGGATTGTCATTTTGCCGTAGGTATGTAGAAAATGTTTAATAAATTCCCTCAAGTGTTTTATAACACAAATGTTCCAGCTCTTACACGAGTATAGTATAGTTGAAGAAAAAAAAAACATTACTTTCTATTTAAGAAATTAAGCTATTGCTTTTGAAGGTTATTTTGTTCTAATACCAGAGTTCCTAGTCAGCCCTTATTTTGTTTACAGGCAGATACAAAATATTTAAATAGTAACTTGTCTACTCATGTGTCAAGAACAGTTAAGATAATAGAGGAGCCCAAATGTATGCCGTAAGTATATTTATAGTTCTCATGCTTTTTAAAAAACAGGGTGGAAGTAGAGGCTCAATGGTAGAGCACCTACCTATCTAGCAAGCATGAGGCCTTGGGTTCAACTCCAGGAACACAAATAGTAACAATAACAGTAATAATAATAGTAATAATGTTAATTCATTTTGTCTTGTAACAAAATACATACAGCAGTAGCAATATCTATTGCAAAAATTTCTATAGGTGTTTAATATGTAAATCCACATTTACACACAAATACATGTATTTCTAGCCTTTTTAGGAGATGAATATCTTCAAGATGCCATCTTTATGGTTTGGCAAGGCTTAACTGCATTTTGATTTCCAAGAATACCCCTTCATTCCAGATTTAAACAGGCAATCTGTCAAAAGCAGTGTGTTACCATTACAGTGCAAAGACTTCGGTCTCTGAATGAAAACCAAAGAAGCCAGGAACCTGTAGCTGTAATACTAGCTATTCATGAGACCTGAGAATCGAGGTTCAAAGCCAATCTGGGCAGGAAAGTATGAGTCATCCTTCCAATTAAACATCAAAAACCTGGAAGTGGAGCTGTGTCTCAAGTGGTATGCTAGCCTTGAACACTGTAGCTTAGGGACAGCACCAAGGCCCTGAGTTAAGCCTCAAGACTGGCACAAAAAGTAAACATTAAAACCATTGAAAAATACTGTTCAACCACAATGAACACTTCATAGCTTGAATTTCTCCTCAGTAAGCATGAGCTCCTTGCCCTAGTGAATGGCAGTAAAAAAGAAAAAAAAAAAAGAAAGATAAAAAGAGCTTCAGTTCTATCTCTTGTTCCCCAACCCAACACAATAGGACAATGTGATGTTGCAGGTGCTGGGACCTGGATATTGAACCTCCCAGCTTTCAGAACTGTAAAAAATGAACTCCTTTACTTTTAAATGCATATACATCTATGATATTTAACAGCAATACAAATCAGACTAAGATACTTCAGAACCTTATTCATTCAGTCAGAGTATCTACACATTACCATTATTTTAAGAGAACTTGGGGAGTTGAGATGATGGTGTATCCTTGCAATCTCTGCTTCTCAGAAATCAGAGAGAGGAAAACTATTGTTCCACACCTGACTAAGCAAAAATATTAGCAAAACCCTTTCTCAAAAATAAGTGGAGACTGATGGTATAAGGTCTATAATCCCAGTTACTCCGGAGGCAGATGTAGACTAGAGGTCTGAAAACAGCATGGGCAAGAGATCCTATCTAAAAACTAAAGCAAAAAGTGGTGGAAGTGTGGCTCAAGTGGTAGAGTAGTTATCTAGCAAAAAGGCCTGAGCTCAATACCTAACCACCAGAAAATCAGAAGTGGTGCTGTGGCTCAATTGGTAGAGCACTCACCTTGAGCTGAAGAGCTCAAGGACAGTGACAAGGCCCAGAGTTCAAGACCCACAACCACCACCACCACCACCAACAACAATAGTAGTAATTCTAACATAGAAATTTGGTTTAAGCATAAAGGAACAAATAAATGAACTAGGTACACAATTGCAAAAAAATGAATAAACTTTCATTGAAACTACTTTTCTTGGAAAAGGTCTCAGTCTATAATAAAAGAAGGCTGCACCAGCTGCTTCAGAGCTGGGATTAAGACTTTTGCAATCATGCCTAGCAACAAAATGGTTTTTGATTTCTGGAGTATCTTTTTTTGTGTGTGTGCCATTTGGGGGCTTGAAATCAGGGTCTTGGTGTGACCCAGTAGCTTTTCACTCAAGATTGGTGCTCTATCACTTGAACCACAGCTTTCCCAGCTTTTACTGGCTAACTGGAGACAAGAGCCTTTCATACTTCCCTACCTAAGCAGCTTTCGAACCACAAACCCAAGATCTCAGCCTTCTGAATATCTAGGATTGTAAGTATGAGCCACCAGCACCCAGCACTATTGGTTTTATTGCTTTAAAAAGGATATGCTTTAAAGAAAATATATCAGATTCAATTTCGTGGCTTCTTTATAAAACACAAAATTCCAGATTTGTTATCTTGAATATATTTAGTTTACTACATGTGGATTATATCTCAACTTTTAAAAGCCTGGAAAGTAGAAACTGTTACCCCTAATTCAACCCCACAAAGCCATATTAACATTTACTGTGTTTCCCTGCAGTCTTATATATTTGTGCATTGCTTTTTCTGATCCTGAACTTTGTGTCTCTATAATCAATTCCTTCATAATAAAGCATAAATATTATTATGCAGAAGATATTATGTAAGTCCAACCGCAACCAGTAGCTTTCTGCTAATAACGTTTCATACTTGTTTTATTCTTTTTTAATATTAAATACCTCCCATAATGATGTATAAAATTATGGTAGACAAAAGTTCTCCATTTTTTCAATAGTACAATGTTATTACTTCTGCCAAAACAAGCATGTTTTATTTGGAGACATTCTACATGAGATATTTTAAAATCTAAACGTTTTAGGTAAAAAAAAAAATTCTCTAGTGAAAATTAATTCCTAACATTATCCTTAGAAATGCAGACAATCGTATTAAGCCAGTAAAACAGCCTCCTCAAAAGGCTCCTGGGGTGGGAACACAGGCAATCCATGTTCTGAAGAATTCAATATCACTTCCAAGTTTTCAGATTTTTGGGGTTTTTTTGTTGGTTGTAGGGTTTGAACTTTGGGCCTGGGAGCTGTCCCTGCACTCTTCAGCTCAAGGCAAGTGCTCTACCACTTGAGTCACAGTGCCACTTGCGGTTTTCTGGTGGTTAACTGGAGATAAGAGTCTCACAAGACTTTCCTGCCAGGCTGGCTTTAAACCAGCCTCCTGAGTAGATAGGGTTACAGGGGTGAGTCAGCATACAGCTTCACTTCTGAGTTTTAACCATAATTTTCAGGAAGCTTTCTGAAGTAGTACCTTCACATGTTTACATAAGCTGTGTAACCAAACTAATACTCTATTCTCAAAATCTTTATCATATAATATCCTTCACTTGCTGCCTACATCACAGATTATACAGCAGATACTATATAATTTGGATGTGTCCCTCCAAAATTCATGCTGAAACTTAATCTCCAATGCAACAGTGTTAACAAGTAAAGACTTTAGAAAGCAAATAAGACAGGAGGGTTCCTCCCTTGTGAGTGGGATTAGGACCGCTACAAAAGGTTTCCAGGCACTGAGGCTGCTTCTTGTTCTTCCCTCCCATTGGCCACATAAGGACACAATAAGGTATCAAGATCAGGCCCTCACCAGACACTGAGCTTGATCAAACTTTACATCTAAATCTTGAACCACCATCTAAAATTGTGAAAAAGAAATCTCTATTAAACTACCAATTACTGTCTGAGGTATTTGTTATAGTGCACAAAGACAGAGAAACACTACCAAGGTACAGTATTTTCAGATATCTCAATTCCCCTATAAACCAAAATTCCAATATTTCAATTTCTCCTATAAACCAAAATTCTCAAAAGAGAGAGAGAGAGAGAAGGAAAGAAAGAAGGAAAAGAAAGAAAGAGAGAGAGAAAGAAAAGAAAGAAAGTCAGTTTTCTATGATTAAAACTTCATAAACATCTGTGATGGAAAAAATTTATTTCAAAATTAATTTAGGAATAGAAAACATCTTGGAAGGGGGATAAAACCAGAAAAAAACACCAAGAATTTAGATGAATGTTTACTTCGCGAGCTTCTCAAACCCTCACTCACTCACTAATCCCCATGATGAAATTGTCTCCAAAGTGGATTCAGCCACCCCTGTAAAAAGAGAGAAAACATGTCACCTGAGGCAGAGACTTCAATAATGATTGGCAATGCAACATTATGGAGCCAAAGCCAGTTATTTGAAAACCATATCCAACTTTCCCCCAAGACAGCATTAAAAAGTGGCACACTCAACAATTAAATCTTGGAACAGAAAAGACTCTGAGTTATGATAGAGTCTCAGAAGCAGATGTATTTTAAAACTCATAATGTTCCTTTGGGAAGTATCACGTGACACAGTGTAGTATGTCTTTTAGATCATGATGTGAATTGCATAATAGGATAGTGTGATGAAAACTGTTCAGTTTGATATTAACAAACTGAGGAAAAAGAGTTGAGACAAAAATACTAGTTCTCAATAGTCACTCAAAAACCTAGTTTAATCATAACAAAAACAAAAGCAAGCTTTTCTACAGACCTTCTGCTTTTTAAAATATAAACACTAAAGTAATACTGTCAAATGTACATACATTTTAATACTACAATGCTAAATAAGCAAAAGAAAAAAAATCCCTCTATGCTAGGTGGCAATATATATTTTGTTGCTAGTATTTTAACTATATTAAATTGTGTAGTCCTAACTGAAAGACCAGAAAATACTTAACTTCTTTAAATTATTACATACTGGGTATTATTTTTGACTTCTGTAATTGTAAAAGGAAAGTATAAAGAAAAAAATGTGCTAACAATTCAACTCAATGATAAAGTCTATAGTTGTATTTAATGTGCCACCATCTCCAAATGATTTAAACAGAAATTTATGCTTTACCAAGTAGGAAAAGATTTCTTTTGATTTTGTAACTATCATAGTATATAATGAAAAGTATACATTTTCTGTGGCTTTCTTACAAAATGTCTGATTTTCAAGCAATTCTTAAGCAATAAAAAAGTCTAACTACAAGAAAGTTTTCTGAACAACTTCGTAAATGTTTCAAATGCTGCTCTGCCACTTACAGGCCATGTAACTTACATTGCTTATTCTCTCTATGCCTCAGTTTCTTCTGAGCATTAAATGAGTTCAGTCACATTAAGCAAGAATATTCTCTGGCCTAGGATTAAGTGCTTACTGCTTCAATATTCTATCCAAAGACTAGCTATTACTATTGCTATTATTACCACTAGAAAAAAAACAAGGTTTGTAAAGATTGTGGTTTAATTCAATACTCTGTGGTTTTAACAGACTTGAGGGTAGAAAACTAGGTTTTACCAGAAGTATATATTCTAGGGGCTGGGAATGTGGCTTACTGGTATGGTGCTTGCCTAACATGCATGAAGCCCTGGGTTCGATTCCTCAGTACCACATAAACAGAAAAAGCCAGAAGTGGTGCTGTGAATCAAGTGGTAGAGTGCTAGCCTTGAGCAAAAGAAGCTCAAGGACATTGCCCAGGCCCTGAGTTTAAGCCCTAGGACTTGCAATTTTAAAAAAAGTATGTATTCTAGAAGTAAAGGACTTGCAATGAAAAAAAAAAAAGTATGGATTATAAATAACCAAACAGGCTTGCTTCAGAACTCATAATCTTAATATGGCAGTCAGTCAATGATGTCTGGCAAGAGAGATAAAAATATAGTGCCAACTGAAGGTTGGGGAAAGAAAACTGTTAGGCTGCTATGTTATACTGGAGGGCAAAACTAAGTGAGAGCAATGACTAGTAAACAAACTCCATGTCACTAAAGCATATGGAGTGGGAAGCAAGAAGAGCTGACTAGAAGAGGTTTTTATGCCACTTCTTTCTTACTGATTAGGCAATTGTAGTCCAGTGGTAGTCTCCGTTTTCTGAATTCTACTGCCATATTCTCTACAACATCTCCCAATTCCAGAACTAACATTTCTCATTAGTAACATTAAAAGGGATTTCTGAACTGAGATAGATTTTAATGCCTTGCTTCTTTTCAGCTCTTACTCTTCATGATCCTAAAATGTCACTTTGTGGTACTTTTGCTTAGTAACTAAACAACTTAATTTTACCTGGTAGTAGACATTTTGTCACTGAAAAGGGCACCTCCTCGTACCCACTACCAATAGTTCATTACAGTAACAACTTCAATTCCCAATGAAATCCTTTACTCAGGGCCTTACCTGAATTAAACCATCAATCCAGCCCAAGTAAGAACTATTCCCCTCAAGGGGCACACTAGAAACAGAGAGGTTAAGAAAACTGCCCACAACTCTAACAACTATTAAGTAACAAAAAAGAGACTATGAATGTAGGCAATGTGGTTCAAAGACAGAACTGTCAAAATATTGATATTCACACAGAGCGTATTTCTTTTCCACCTTAAAAATCAACACCATAGTGAATAAAGAAGTGTATTTGAATTCTGGTTCTGTCACTGAATACTTCCTTCACCCTGTAAAGTTAAACTCATAAGCCAGGCACCAATGGCCCGTAATCCTACCTACTCAGAAGACTTGAGATCTGAGGATAGAGGTTCAAAGCCAGCCTGAGTAGGAAAAAGCCTATGAGACTCATCTCTAAGTAACTACCTCAAAAAAGCTAAAAGTGGAGCTGTAGCCCAAGTGGTAGAGAGCTAGCCTTAGCAAAAAAAAGCTCAGGGATAGCATCCAGGCCTTGAGTTCTAGCTTTAGGACCAGAACACGCACACACGCACGCACTTGCCCGTGCGTGCACACGCACACACGCGCACACACACACACTCACATAAAAATTCTCTGAGTCCTAGTTCACAGAGTTGCTGTCAATACTATGTAAGATACAAAAATCTTTTAAGGCACTGGTACCACATAAGACAATAAATATCAATGGACATTAATAGACTCGACTCAATAAACAGATGAGAAAAAATATCTCTGTATTAATGAAACAAATTGTGAATTCAACTGTTTAACATTTTTATTTATTCCTAGATAGTATATTTTATAAAGTTTACTTACACAATGATGTTATTAATAGGGATATGGATCAATTTTACAAAGAAGCCAATGAAGCCCATTATTGCAAATCCTATTGCTGTTGCCATGGCAATCTTCTGGAATTCTAAATGTAAAAAGGCACATTAAGTTTTTTGCATTGTCATTTAAAGTATAGGAGAAAATATTTTAGTGGCATAAACTTATAATGTATACTTTTCCTCACTAGCAGTACACGGTTAAAAAAAAAAAGGTAAACATGTTTGACAGGTTTCTCAATTCCATACTTTGGTAACACACACACACATACACAGTGCATTCTGTTATAGTGATTTCATCAATAGGCCCTGAAAACATCTGTCCATCTCAGCAAATGATCAAACAATCAAAAGATAAAGGATGTAAGATAGGATGAACTGCATGTTTCTTTAAAAATTTAATATAACAATTTTATTGTAATAGTGTATAAAAGCAGAATCATAACTTCTGTGGTACATTAAAAACAAATGATCTAGTGCCAATAGGAAGGCTTGAAGAATCAAATTAAGTCAAGCACAATTTTGTGTAAAGTTTCACAACTGGTATGTTTCATTTTCATTTCTTCAGGGAAGCTTGCTCTGACTACCTACCTAGATTAGTCTCTTACTACCTGGCATATCTTCCCTCATACTTACAAAGGCAGTAATTAACTGTTAATGAGACTACTATACTATAACATGAACAAAAGTAGAAACACAAAAGCATGACAAATAATAAATTTTCAAGCTTGGCAACAAATATATTGCTGGATTCAGGTTTTTTTGTTTGTTTGTTTGTTTGTTTTGGGTCTGGCCGTGAGGCCTAAACTCTGGGCCTGGGCACTGTCCTCAGCTCTTCAGCTCAAGGCTAGCGCTCTACCACTTGAGCCACAGCACCACACTTCCGGCTTTTTTCTTTTTGCTTATGTGGTGCTGAGGAATCGAACCCAGCACCTCATGCGTGCAAGGCAAGCGTTCTACCACTGAGCCACCTTCCCAGCCCCTCACATCAGGTTTTTGTTCCAGGTTCAAGACAGCTCAGAGAGGACTCCAAAGGTTTTTCCAGAGTAGAAATATGAAAGACACTAAAAATTCTAACATCATAAATTATGACAACTTATCTGTGACAGGAAAAATAAGGCCATGATGAACATTTTTAAATTCAAAACAGAAAATCTAGTAACTTTGTACATAAGAAATGACAATGATCTAAAACAATAACGTAAACTAAAACAAATCAGTGAAAGTGTTGACAAAAGTAGTACAATGGTCATTATGTGTATGTGTGTGGTGTGTGTGTGTGTGTTTATTTGTATGTGTGGTGCTGAGGACAGAATCAGGTAATTCTATCACAGAGGTACATCCTAATGGAACCATTACTAAACAGGAAGATGATTAATATGTGATTACCTTTTCTATCGGGTTTGGTGCATCTTTTAACCAGCCGAATTGAATCCTTTACAAACTGCCGACTTGGCTCAACAAACTGCATTACCTGATCCATGATTACCTGCTTAAAAAATTTAAAAAACACAAAATGAGAAAACAGTATTCAATATGTGTGTGTGTGAAAACAGAACTAGGAAAATGAAGGCATGGGTGGGGTTGAGAGAGATGGGAAGGGTTTGGAGATGGTTGCAGATGGGAGAATGAAGAAAGGGGTGACCCTCAGCAAGGTACATTATACTCATAAACTGGCATGCTGAATTGAAACTCCTTTGTACAACTAAAGATAATCTTAAAATTTTTAAGGTATTGTAAAAGAAAAAAAAGAGATACTAACTAGTATTATTTATCATACAAGAATTTGCTGAAGTGATATGAGACCAACCATGAATTCATACCTGACAGCTCATTCCATCTTATGTAACAAAACGAATACTGTAAAATTTGACACTATGTTTGTAAATTCCAGGAAAATGTCAAATATAGTAAGAAAAGCACAGTTTTATCCACGTTATCATTTACAAGGGACACTTTCAATATCACATGTCTGCCTCTATTACAGGGTCAAGTAACAACAACACACCCATTCCCTACCCACTCTGCAATTCTCACTTATCCTTTTTTGTATTTTAAGCGATGCAGAAATCACTAAGTCTAGTGCAGTGAATGCCAACTATGGTGCTGCAAGAATCTAAAATGAATACAAACCTAAATTCCAACTTGAATGTCATTTTAAAAAAATACAGTTTATACAATGTACTTAAGGAAAAATACAATGTGAGGGATGACAGAGACAAGAAAATTTTCAAAAACCAGAGACTGGCTAAACCAAATGGAATCCTTGCCTGATGTGAATATCTAACTATCCAGATTTTTTTCCCCCTGTTTTAATTCCAAACAACCATGGTGTTAAACAAAATTGTTTCACTATTATCTTCGTGATCTACTGCATGGGCACGATTAAAACACAGAGAAGTACTGAAGAAGAAGGAAAAAAAAAACTAGCTAAATCACTATGCAGATTCTGAGACGCTATGAAACGTTCAGGTTTGGGCACACCTGTTGGGGAGGCAGTCGATCGATTCCTTGAACTTTACTACCCGGTTTAAATAGCTTGGAGAGCCGCTGGTATGACAGCTCACTGGGCCAAGCGCTTAGAACACGTAGTGGGAAACATAACCTAAGCTTGAAAGACTTCGGGTGCACAGGGGAGGTTCCTCAAACATTCTGGGGGCGAGGGGGGGGGGCGGTGTTCGCCTGTTTCCCTCAGTGTTTCCCTTTTTGTTCTGGAGCGCTGAATGGTCTTCAAATCCACAGTAGACCAAACGCCGCCCTCCACGTCCCAGACGCTCAACCAACTCTGCAAAGCACCGAGGATCGCGACCGCACAACTCGGACGGGGCCGAGTTCCCCACGGGCGCGCAGCCCAGCGCTGCCATCGGACGGCGTCCCGCAGAAGGCTCTGGAAGCCCCCAGCAAAGAGCCATAACGGGGAAGAGAAGCGGTGGCTCCAGGGGCACAGCGTCGGCCTGGACTTCAGAGACAGCGACCAGGTCCCGAGTTCACAGGAGCGACAGCCGCAGACAGCGGACTCCGCTGCGGGCCTCCCACCCGGGCACGCGGGCGGCCCACCCCGCGCCGGCTCCAGGGTGGTCAGCGGCCACCGGGGGTTTTCCCTCCACCGGAGGCCGTGTGGGGCCAGAAGGTCAACGGCCGGAACCCAGGTCCCACTCTGCCCACCGCCACACCAGCTCGCCCCTAGCGAGGACCCTCGCCCCCCCCAACCCACCCGCAGGGAGACAGACCGTCACCTACCGGGCGGCCAGCCGTCACGCCAGCGACACGTAGCACTAGGGCTGCCGGCGGCCCACCGGAACCGGAAATGCAGACGCTACGCACGGCCCGCCCTCGCTGCTCCGGCCAATTGGGTGGTTCTGCGGAGTCGTCAGTGCGCAGGCGCGAACAGGCCAGCTTGTCAGCCTGTTTTTTTTTTTTTGGAATCAGCTGCAGCAGGGGCGGAGCGTTGAAAGCGTCATGGTGAAGCGTCGAAGGCTGTGGGCGGGGCGACGGGGAACGACTCGTGGAAGCGTCCAAGGATATGGGCGTGACGTCGAGGGTGGTGGGCGGGGCGTGAAGGGCGGTGGGCGGGGCGTCTGGAGCGTCTTGACTTGGCCGTCCCCCTTTTTCTGGAGAGTGACGTTTCTCCGCCCCCCATTTCTGGACTGTCGGTCGGACCTCCTCAGGCCGACCTCAGGCTTTTGGCATAGGCAGACCCTCATCTTTTTGCGGCCTTTGCTGAGTCTGGTATCTTATTGGACCCCAACTAGGGAATCTTCTCAATGGACTCCACTTGAGGAAATGATGGATTTTTCTTAAATCCTGCTTCCTACCATCCTACTTTTGGATCGTGTGTGTGTGTGTGTGTGTGTGCGTGTCCTTGCTGTACACTCTTGTTGTGTGTCCATAATATTGTTGATGAATGAGGCTGATAACAATATGATAGAATGCATGACCGATCTAATTGAAAACAACCACTCCCCTGCGCTGTCAATCATGGAAATACGCTGGAACAGGGGCCATCATTTTGAGTACTCTAGGTATGCGTGAAATAATTATGCTATTGACATAGTGCCTCTGCTTTGCAGGAAATATTATAAATCCAGGCATTTGGTGACTGGTGAGCCCACCAACAGGACAACTTAGGCGCTTGGAATAAATCATTCTTGGTACAATTATTGTTTGAGCCCTTAATGTGTTTAATGCACTGCTGCGTGTTGTAAATAAGCCCAAGATGGTGTGCCATACCCTTTTGGAGTGTATGGCCCAGTAAGGGAATCTACCATATACAGAGGTATAGGTTGAGGTAATGACTGAGTCTGACCACCTACAATACAATGGGACAAGGTATACACAGTAACTATGTACAATATATAGAAACTTTAAAATACATGTTCCTGACCCCTTAACCACAATGTATTTAACCAATATCTGGAATTTTCTGGGTTAGATGTTTACATTTACATACTGAGGTTTAAGAACCACTAAGAATTCTCATATCTCCCTAGATACAATGCACTCTCAGCTTCCTCTGAATCCCTATGTGTTTCTTCAGATACCCTGGTTATTTATGTACCATCATCAGGATAAGAGAGGTCAAGAAATATCTAGAACCTGGGCTTTGAGTTGTTTTACTTTACTTCATACCCACCATATCTTGCAGTCAGTAATTCTGTGAAACAGGTATTGTCTCCGGCATTTTGCTTTGACATGCAACACAAAACTATTAGTCACACCAAAACTATTAGTCACACCATTTTTCCAACACATTTCCATCTTGCCTTAGGATATTTCACCTCATCTTTGAGAATTATTAGACAGAAGAGCCAAGTCAGACAATGCCATTCAGGAACTCAACCTCCAGTAGATACATGTCATCCTACTTTGTCCAATGTATGGAATCTACAACACCAAGAACAAAGCCTGTATAAATTGTGGATTTTAGGTGATTATTAGGTGTCAATGTAAATTCATCAGTTGTAACAAACATTCCATTTGGATAAGAACTTTTGATCATATGTCAGGGTAGTGAGTGAGTACCTAGGAGTTCTCTGTATGTTTTTCAGTTTTGCTTTGAACCTAAAACAAAGAAATAAAGCCTTGGGCTGGGAAGGTGGCTCAGTGGTAGAGCTCTTGCCTTGCATGCCTGAGGCCCTGGGTTCGATTCCTCAGCACCACATAAGCAAAAAGAAAAAAGCTAGAAGTGGCACTGTGGCTCAAGTGGTAGAGTGCTAGCCTTGAGCTGAAGAGCTGAGGGACAGCGCCCAGGCCCATTGTTCAGGCCCCACCACCGGACTCCCCACAAAAAAAGAAAGAAAGAAAGAAAGCCTAAAAGGATTCAAATCATGCAATGATTTTTCTGACCAGTCTTAAACTAGACATCTACATTTAAATAAAAATATTACTGAAAATCCCCAACTATGGAGGATTATGTTAAACAGCATATTTGTATAATGATACATAGGTTAAAGAAGAAACCAAAAAGGAAATTTGAAAATAATTTGAACTGAATGACAATGAAATTACAATATATCATTACTGCCAGACACTACCACACATACTCAAGAATGCTTGAATGTGCAAAGTATAGCAATTCAGATTTGTGTAAAAATGTAACTAGAAACCCCATACATGGTTACGTGTGTAGAATGGTATACTACTCTTGAAGAAAAGGTTTCCCAGTTTGTCATAAAGCATATAGCACCTGATACCCACAATTTCAGTTCTGATTACTTACTCAAAAAATAAAAAATTTACAGCAATGTTTATAACAGCTTTATTCATAGTAGCAAAATAAAGCCCTAAACAGTAGGATTGGTAAAGATGTAAGTTTGGTAAAGATGTAAGTATAGTGCCACAGTGGAATACCACTCCATGATTGAGAAGGGAACAAAAGAGCTATTTAAACCAACAGTGATGGATATAAGAAAATGGGCGGGTGCTAGGGGCTCACATAATCCTAGCTAGGAGGTTGAGAACTGAGGATAGTGGTTCAAAGCCAGGCTGAGCAGGAAAGTCTGTGAGATTCATATCTCCAATTAACCAACAAAAGGCTGGAAGTAGTGCTGTGGCTCAAGTGCTGAAACACTAATCTTCAACACAAAAGCTCAGGAACAATGCCCAGGCCCTGAATTCAAGACCAGGGCCAACCCAAAACAAATTGATTCACCTTTTGTTTCCTCTGTGTGTGTGGGAGGAGGGGGGAGAGAGAGAAAGGAGAGGGAGAGGAAGGAAAGAAGGAAGGGAGGGAGGGAGGGAGAGAGGGAAGGAAGGAAGGAAGGAAAGGAGGAAGGGAGGGAGGGAGGGAGGGAGGGAGGGAAAGAAGGAAGGGAAGGGAAGGGAGGAAGGAAGGAAGGAAGAAAGGAGAGAGAAAGGAAAGAAAGAAAAATGGAAAGAAAGACAAGAAACAAAAACAAGAAATAAAGAAAAAGATTGAATGGAGGAAGCTTTTACAAAAGTGCACACTGCATTATTCCATTTATAGGCAGTTCTGTCATGGCACATACATGGTAGCAAAAATAATCACAAATGATAACAGTGCTTACCTCTGGGAAATGAACAGAGGAGCACAGCAAGGCTTGGAAGTGAAAGTAATATTCTGTAATTTGACAAGGACTAAGGTTATGAAGGTGTCTGAGTCATTATGGGCTGCTATAACAGACTATAAAAAGTGGATGATTAAAAGACAATGTTTATTTCTCATGGTTTTGAAGGCTGAAAGTTGGGAGATCAAAGTACCCACCTGGTTCAAGTCTTGGCACAGGCTCTTTTAGTGGTTTACAGATGACAGCATTTTATCCTCACATGGTGAAAATGAATGTATAAGAGTTATCTTCCTCTTACAAGTACACAAAGCCCCATTGTGAAGACTTCATCATCATAGTCCTGATGTCTTTACCTATGACGCAACTGATTTGCATTATGGTAAGTCATGGTAAGGTTCAACATGGGAATTTTGGAAGAAAGTATCAGTTCATAGCAAATAGGACTTTTCCATTCCGTACATTCCACCTCACAAAATAAAAAATTGTGGAGCAAAGTCTGAGCTCCAGTTGAATGAAACTACTGACCTATTTAGGAATGAAATTTATCAAGGTCTACAACTTCATTTGATTTAAAAAGTAATTTTGTGGACAGATAAAAGTACTGATAAGTGATAAAACTGATCACAACTCATAGTTGTTGGTGTATGACTATTCACAGAATAGATTCTCTCTTTGAAATTTTATGATACAAAAAGATCGATGCAGATTAATAAAGTTATAAAAAATTCATTTTGACATGAGTAAGGATGATTGCAAACCAAATGCATACATAGCAGAAATTTCAAATTACTTAATTTAAAAGTATTGATGAAATGATGTTGAGATTAAAAGCTGAGTTGATGTTCCATTTATAGTCTTGAATCCCCACCTAAAGCAAGAAATGTTAAAGAAAAAGAAAAGGATCTATGAAGAACCAAGATCTCCAATGCAACTACCTTTTATGGTATATATTACTTCACTGGTGTCATGCAAAAAAAGGTAAACTGACACACAGATATGATGTATAATATACATGTAGTTGAAGTGTTATAAAATTATGAAAACAATAATTGTTTCCCAGGAAAAATTAAGACTAGACATAGACACAAATATAAAGAGAATATTTTATAGCTAATGTGATCAGGCCAAATAAAGTTCCTCTTTCTCACATCTTTTGAAAATGAAGTGGCATTTTTAGTACTAGGAAAAATTGTTCTCTAATTTTGTCAAAGCATAATAAGTAGAATATGACCACGGAGTGCCCCAAGAGATTTAGATAGCATGTGCTATGTTGCCAATTCCAGTAAACCTTTTTCTTTGATTCATCTTGAAAGATTTTGGTGCATTCTTCATCATTTTATTGATAAAACAATAAAGATTATGGGTCTGAGTCTGCCCTAATGGACTTCTTTTCCTGTATATCATTAGGAGTTTTTAACTGCCCCAACACATACAAATAAATGGTAATTAATAGTGTGTTCATATTTTGCAATCATTTCCAACATAAATTTTATGACGTATTCATCACTTAGAAAAGAAACTCCATAGAACCAGTGGTAGTCATTCCTGGTTTTTTTCCCCTATGTCTCTCTCCCCAGATTGCTGTCCCCTAACAACCTAAATTCCTTTTGGTGCTAGAGATCAAACCCAGAGCTTTGTTTATGCTAGCAAGCACTATATAACTACATCCACAGGCAAGGGCTCATTTTTTAAAAATTCCTCCTACTCATCTGTAATTACTATCTTTCAAATAACAGCTCCTTATTCTTCCTATCCCTCCCAGCTTCACTAACCATTTTACTATCTCATTCATTGAGAT